TCCTCAATTAAGTATCAACAGAGATAAAACATAAAAGAAAAAAAGAAGCGCGACGTTACCTGAAGAGCATTCAGCCTTTCCTCTTTACATGTTGGTTGTTTAATAACCGCAGACATGTTATCAACTCGAGTGAATACTTCCTGTGAAGAAGATAAAGGCAAAAAAAGACTGCTTATGAATTGGCTTAACAAATGCAAATGGCTAAGTAAAATTTCTGCTCTTGCAGCTACTTTTGGCCTGCCAACACACAAGTATGCCATGAACATTCTAACTTCTTCTTCTAATGTAATGACAGTACTCATACAAGACTACATACGAGAAGTTTTAATGTCAAGACTTGAATCGTGAAAAACATGCCAAATTCCAGAGATCAAGACTAAAACTTTCTTATAGAAACATCCCCAACTGCTTTACCCTACCAATCTAATTGACCCAAATGCTTAAATCATGACAAATCAATGGAACTGTTCATCAATCTCACAGGAACACCAAAGGACACATAAGACAGGAGAAAAAACCTTACCGGAACCATCCAACGACAAGTATCACAATCAATACAAGTATTGTCAACGAATATATCGCCATCGACGTTCTGAGTGCGTCGTCTAGGGTTCCCCAAGCTTGTCTTTTGCGCTGCTTTGATAGATCCAAAAGCTCTCCTTCCATTTAAAGCCGTCGAAACAGAAGAGTAAGCTTTCGATGGAAAGATGATCGGTTCCTGTGAACGGAAATGATGCGAGATCGAAGAAATCGCAGAGGAAGAAGAAGCTGAAGCCATGAGTGGTGAGTGGTGAGTGGTGAGTCTCGTTTCTTCTTCTTCTCTCTTTACTCTTTTGTTTGAGTGTAGAAGACAGAGTCGTAGACGCAACCTCGAACTTCGCAGTATGGAATATTCAACATTTCAAAATCTAATTTTGACTATACGTTGACCCGGTTTATTTGCGGTTTAGCTAATCTCTTTCAATTTTGGGTAGAGACGAGGACCCGGTTGAAGCTAATTAGATTCGGTTTGTTGTTGATCCATAAACCGTAACCACCGGTTTGAGACAGATTCTCGATTTCAATCACGTGTAAGCTTCTTTCACATTGGTGCCAGGTCCTCTCTCCAATCTCCATTGTAGATCATCGTCTCTCTATCTCTCAATTTCTTCAAGTACCGTTTTCTCTAATCCTCTGTTTCGTTGGATCAGAGATTCGAATCTCGAGATCTACTTTCCCGGCTTCAGTGTTTTTTTTTTCCGACGATGTTTCACGTGGCAGAAGAAAGCAGTGGGTCTGAGATTGATGAGGAGATGACCGGAGACGGTTCGACGACGTCGTTGTCGCGTTGGGTTTTC